AACCCCTCCATAGAATATCTATCAAGCGAAAAATAGCTTGAAGAATACAAAAACACGTTTTCGGCAGCAGCAGTCATAACCCTGGGATTTTGAAAAATCGACTGTAGACCGTAAACAGGTGGTACAATGACAGAAAACGTACTGCCATGTTACGTTTACATCCGCACATTTTTTTATTTTCATTAAAATAAAATAAAACAACATGATAACCAAATTCTTGTAAAAATATATTTACTTTCTATTTTACGATACACTGAATTGCTAAACTGACTCAAACAATCCTAATGAATTGGCGTTTCGGTTTTATTGCATAATTCTGTTTTGTTTTTTAAGTTTAATTTACTGTTCGCATCCAGAAAATTACATTACATGCGCAGAGATGTTTACGGCTAGGCCATATATTTGTCTCACAATAAAGCGTATTGACCAATTAACAGATGCGCGGTAAATAAGGAGATAAACCGTCCCAACCTTAACTCATATACGATTGCCGTGAGATTAGGGTCTAATCGCTTCTGGTTTACGTGGAATTGTAAGGGTAAAGCGGGGAGGGCCGATAGGAGTTCCTCAATGAGTCCGTCAAAAGATAGAGATGAGAGCACACACGCTTCCAAGAAGTAATTTTCAACAGCTACAAGGCCGGCACAAAGACCACACACAGTGTTTAAGACATGCAAATATAATCCGTGGTAATTCTGAGTGGTTCCTAACAAATACCCCGCCTTAAACCCAACGGGAATAAAATCGGTTCTGGTGTCCCTCGGATTCGATTAGAAAATAACTGAATTTGTAGATTTGTAGTACGGCTCTAAGTAAATGACTACCGCTTTGAAACTACGAAATGGACAAAACTAAGAACCCCCCCCCCCGCTCCCCACTACATCTCTTGCATGTATGAGAAGCTACGACCTGTTGCTTGCAAGAAGGCTGAGTTATGCATTCAGTCAGTTTTGTCGCATATCTGTTTAATACTATTCATATTCATAGAATCAAATTCACTTAAATCCTTACAACTTGGATGCTGCGCACGTCAGTACACGTCAGCCCAAATTTTGTAGTTCTGCCTAAAATTCGTCGGACAATACTGTCGGCATAACCATAGTAAGTCTACGTGTCACGTTGTAGGCCTATCCCAAATACCGAGAATGGGAGCATATAGCATAGGCTACATTTTTCGTTACAAATTTTGTTGTTTGATAACCTATACATAACAATAATTCTTTAAAAATAATGTAAATAATTGTGTATTAGTTGAACAAGATTGTTATAATGTTATAAATTTAGATGTTCTCAAATGTTCTCAGAAAAATGCTACAATGCCTTAAAGGAACGTCTTAGCCATTGAGCCTTATGAAGTGTTTTGAAAGTTGCATTTCAAGTCCGTTCCTTACTGATCTTACGGTAAACATAAATCCGGCCAAATAAAGCGCCAATTAATTTTCAGAGCATGTTAAAATAGTGTTAAATTATTTCAGTGTTGAACAGCTTACTTAAAGAATTTATCCAAGATAAAATAAAAACATAGGACTTAGTTTACTAAGTGGCACCGTTCTCGTTTCCCAATATTATTAATAAATATCGAAAAAAACTTTACTGGTTATGTTTATTGATTCCTGATAAGTTTAATAAGAAGAGCTACAATTATCCTCAGCACAAGATTGGATACACCCAAGACAGGCTACTTTTTTCTCACGCAGCGCCTTGTGGCTACTTTTTTTGAAATTTGAAATAAGTATTCAGTAACTAAATCGTTTTATGGTCTAATCTGCCTAAGGCAAAACTGATTGAACAACTCTTAAATCAAAGCTGAGCCATTACAATCAGTCGCCTCAACAAAACTCGCACAATCCAGCGGGGTTCATGGGGCCGCTGTAGCTGGTCGGGGATCTGAAGCTCATTGCGATAAACTTTCTGAGAAGCCTGGAAAAAGGTCCGACAGCTAATTATTACTTCTTAACGCGGTAAAATTGGTCGTGGAGTGCATAGTAAATCTTGGCACAAAGGTCCCTTGCAAATATACTCATTTATTACTGTAAACTGTGTAGAAAAAAAATGAATGACAAATATCTTGTGGATTTTTTTTAATTACTCCTACTTTCAATAGACACAAAACAGGATTACATAAAGTCAATGTTTATTATCGGGTCGTATTTGAGTTTCAACATCACTAAAATTATTCAGTTTAAAGCACAAAACTTCGGCTAATTATCGTATACCTTTGTTGTTTGTGTTCTGGAATGCGTGTTAAAACCTGTCAAGTGTGTTTTCGTTAACAGAATGAAAGTCGCTTTTTGATTACATCCACGTAGTAGGACGTGTCAATATTTTTTATTAATAGCTAATAAAAATGGAATAGTATATAAATGCCTATCTCTTTAACAAAGTATGTGTATACAGCAGTCTGCAATACAATGAATGCGACGCTAATGCTAATGCTACGGAAGCTCCAGTCATGTGATTAACGCTGTGAAGCTTGCGAGATTGCGAATATTTCAGGAAAAAAAATCGAATCACTTTTCATATGTGAGACTACTGCTGAAATTTCGTAGAACAGACCCCAAATAATAGTTTAAAACACGTGTCACTAAATAATTATGTAATTCATGGAGTTCTCAGGAGTTGTTCAAATATTTAAGAAGTTGAGTAACAATTAAAAACCCAGCCTTGGTGACTTCTGATGTCAATTTAAATAACTTTGATGTTAATTCAAATTACTGGCGATGTAAATTCAAATTACTGGCAAACTTGCGTCGCCTGTTTCTGATGCAATGTTAATGGCACCTTTCAGTGCTGTATACTGACACATAGAGAAAGGAAACATTTGATCAAGTCTGCAATTCAGCTAGTTTTACTTTCACATTAAGTTTATTACTCTTGATTTGGTCACCTCAGTGTTAAATTTTTAAAGCAGTTCAGGTATGTCCAAATAACTCATTTCCATGTGTTTCATACTGCTATTATATAAATTATATTTTACGTGCACGTGTTCTCTAATAGCAGCTGATATGCGTCTCTACTCCACCCCACACACCCCCACACACAAATGAACAATATAAATCATTTAGTGCAATTATCGATATCACGGCCTCTCCCTTGCAGCTTAGTTGAATTAACATATCTAGCCAAAGAAAACGGCTGCAGCTAGCAATTGTGCTCAGAGCTTTTGATCCTGTGCTTTGTATTTGCGCGGAGATATACTAGTTTCTGCAGGCATGTGGTTGTGGAGTGAAATAGATATTTGTCTTTCTTCGATAACAACTTAAGAACTGAATTCTGGATAAGGCCAGTTGATCATTAACGTAAAGCACGCCGAATCCACCAGATTCGTGGTATCAAAAACTCTACGTAGCTATTACCGCAGACCGTATTTGTTCTGCATCATGGAATGAGAAATCTGTTATTTTTTTATATAAATTATACATTACTGGGCATAGTAAATCATATTTAAAGCGCACCGGATTTTCTTGATTTTAATAATACATAGGATGTTTAGAATTTTAAACAATAAATAAGATATCTAAAATTGAAATCCAAAAAACACTAATTATACACCCATAGTCATGTCCTTATTTTTTTGCTATATACTGTTTCTGCTCTTTAGACGAAAAACTACGTGATGATTATCAATATAGTTAAATGATTAATATTTATACCGCGTGATATAGAATATATTTCATTATTCGAGGTGAAGTGATCATCATTTTATATTCTTCAAAATGATTTATTAAAACCTACAAGACAAGTACTAAGATCCTACTTGCTATATAAATAATAAAAGAACCAGGAATCTTACTTGCAGTCAGTAATATCGATGCATAATATTAAAATGTACATTTATTACAGCAAATGTAGATGGACTTAAACATTGTTACTAATGGTTGTTTGAGCAGTTGACCACATTAATGTTGATAACAAAAATGTGCGACGTAACAGATCAGCGGGAAGTCTCACCGATTGCGAGAGTCATACTTTGATATTCGAAATTGTTGTTCATCTTAGAAGTGTACGGTTTGTTCTCATAACAAAACACACGTGGCTCACATAAATTGATGTACGTAATGTGCATGTATAATTACTGTGTGTCTATGCCTTAAGATCCCCAAAGTTCTTTGACATCGTCAATGTGTATTAATTTGTCACGATCAATGTTTGGGACGGGAAACATTCTAAAACAAACTGAACAAGGCCCTGGAGTCAAAACGTCTTTTAGTCAATTTAATTGTAGCAATAGGACCAAGCATATCGATGAAAACACGTTAAATAAACATTCTCAATTTTTATATAATAGCATCAGTTTTGACGTTTCATCTGTAATTTAACTCGCAGTAGTTTGGACAATAATAAATACCAATAAAACACCAAGCGCACAACGAGTTATGGATGCTTTAAACTGAAACGCGGATGATGAAGAAGCTTTGAGGTCAACGCTTTAAAAGGCAGGCTTTCCTTTCCTAGGATAAACTAAGGCTTTCAATCAGACTTCCCTTGGCAATTTGTGAAACGGTGAGACTGTTTATGACACAGCTATAATTTTACGCAATACAAGAACTATATAGGCCTACGTATGACCCTTTATGGAGTGACGAGATTTACATAATTAAGAAATGCAATTTCATTTACCCTTGACGGAACGAACGGAATCTCCATTTGGTATGAATTCATTTTCTTGGCCGTTAACACGTAAGGAAATGCTAATAGTAAACATGTTAAGTAATTTACGTAAATGAAACACTCTTGCAAGGGTTAGCAAGCCAAGCATGGCCGAAAGACCGCCCAAAATGCCCACAAATTGCACTGCCGATTTTTTTTGTGACCAATAAGGTGTTTGAAAATCACACAAGTAATATGTATTATTATTATTGTTACTATCGTCATCTTCTTTGATGTCATTGTGATATTGGAGGTAAGATCCCCCTTTACTTAGTTTTAACAATTTGACAGAATACGGTATTACCATTAATATCAATCTAATCGCCCAATTCAATAAATGGATATCGATATTATTTTAATAATTTATTTAATAGGATTGTATTACTGTTTTATGGCAAATACCTATATAAGTTACATAAGAACAAAACACGCGATCAAATAACAATAAAATACAACCAACCCTTAATAATATCGATGAAACCTTTTCTACATTATGATTCTAACAAATAATTCAGACCATTGACAGAAATGATAGAAATTACGCTTGACATTGAACTTTCGAAAATGAAAACTATCATTTCCCAACAAGCAAAATCCCCAACCGGTTCGGCGCGAATTTTTCTTCTTGTTGGATCTCACCAGATCCTCAGAAATATATTTCAACGGGTATTCCACTGAGATACTCAGGCTTCGAGGTGCAGAAACCTTTAAAACAAAATATTTTCGAAAAGGGGTTTCAGTCCTCGAGCTCATTTATATAAATAGGTTTCATTTCACTTCGAGGTGCGTTCATATTAAATACATATTCACTATGTCTTGATTCGACCAGTTTCTATACGTAAATCCAGTTTAAGATTAATCCTTCTGTTTCTTCACAAAATGCAGACTCTCAGAGTGGGAATGTGTAGTCTCTGGTGCCCGAATGTGCAACAATCTCTGTCTCTGATATATTTTGATCATCATGATTGTTCACCATGTCCGTCCGTACAGTAGAGCCGAGCATGGCACTGCCGAGCCGTACTCAGAACTAACGGAGCTGAGGTGAGAAAGACCAGACACCTGGGTCTGCAGGGAGGACGGGCTGCTGGAGTGATGGGCCAGTTCCGGAGAGTGTTCCGAGCTGCTAGCCTGTTGCTCATGATGTTGGCTCATCGCCGAGCTGTTCATGGATATGGCCATAACGCTGCTGACCTCCTGATGGTGGCTCTGTATGGCCGCTGTTGAGGTCTGGTTACCAGCCTGGCACGGCTTTCCGTCTTTCACCAGGACGGGCACTGCCACTCGGCGGGGCGACTGCTGCTGCTGACAGGAGCCCGAGTCCTGCTGCATTTGATGCTGGGACGCTTTGTCTTTAGCTTGTCGCTTCATCTTATACCGGTGGTTTTGGAACCATATTTTCACCTGTGTCGGAGTGAGGTGGATCATAGTAGCCAAATGTTCCCGCTCCGGCGCTGACAGATATTTCTGTTGCTTGAACCGCCGCTCCAGTTCGTACACCTGAGCCTGGGAGAAGAGCACCCGGCGCTTCCTCCGTGGGGTGCTCGGTAAGGGCCCTATGCTTTTGCCTACATCCGCCAGGGAGCCAAGACTGCCCATACTGCCCATGTTCATGCCCGACGACGAACCCATAAAGCGAGAGACTGGGGAGGGGGAGGGGGAGAAAGAAACACCTGTTATAATAGTAGTACCATTGTTACAAATGATAATATATCAAATGCTTTACATAAACATAAATTATTAACAATCTTTTCCAACACTGGTTTTCATTACTTTGAGCACAACTTGTTGACAGAAAACCGAGATTCAAAGTGATTGGAGTACATATTTGGTTAGTGGGTAAGACGCAACAACAATTTAACGTAATAAAAGTAATTGTTTGAGATTGCCCTCCAGATTGTTGAGTACCCCCATAATGAACTTTGCCAGTCATTTACATAGGCGTAAACTTAAGTGACATAAATAGAACTGCACATTTCTACTCAAAATAAGTGGTTGACGAAACGGGAACTCCGCCTATTATTCGCCAGAGAAAAGGTCGTCATTATTCTATAAACGACGAAGACATCTAAATTCATATGAGTTAGCCTGGTCTTATATAGTACTTTGTTTGCAGATGTATTCCCATCAGCACTGCGGCTCTCTCGGATAGACGTTATCTACCGTAAACTGTCAAACGTGAAGATACTTACTTGAAGAAAAGCGCGGATCTGGGCTGGCTCCATACCAGCCAGCGGCCGTGGTGCTGTTTCTCATGGTGTCTTGGTAAGGCGGAAGTTCGGTCATGTTTCCCAAATTGCTGCCACAGTAGCCCCCCACTGCGGTGTGCGACAGCTGAGATACCCCAGCAGCCGTCATATGGTAAGTGGCGGACACTGTCCCGTTGTGCCCCATGTAGTGTTGTTGCATTGCCGCCTGTGAGACCTGTGGCTGTCGGTAAGCGGCGATTGAAGCCCCCAAGCTGTTACCTTCCATACTTACTTTCTTGTAACACTCCTCAAGGGGACTCAAGATATCGGAAACAGAAAAAGGAGTCGTATGTTTTGGGCTCATCGACATTGTTCTGCAGCAGGAAAGAGGAAAACTAAACAGCAATCTCTCTCTCTCCCTCTCTCTCTCCCCCTCTTTTTTCCTGTTGCCCTCTGTCCCTCCTGTCTCAGCGTCGATGGTAGTGGATGAACACGTAAGAGAGTAGTTGAAGTCCGCCTTAATTGGAGTGAGTGGAAGCTTAGGACTCGCTTTTGTTAGTTTTAGCTGGGCGCCAGGTTTGACACAGCCACCAAAGGCGGGGCATCAGCAGTCAGGGCGACAATGGAAAGGTCTCTCTTTGCCTTTTTCTCGCTTGTATGTGCCTTTACATTCTACATATACAGGAGCAGTATATATGCAAGTTTTCAACGGTAACAGCAGACGTGTGCGCATGTATGTGGATATACATGCGGCATGTTACTATTGATAACTTCAACTGGATCTCAGCTCGACTTGCAATTGTAACTGCGCTCTATAAAATCGTGCTTCAGATAAAACAGAAAAGTCTCGACCTGCAATTGGCGGTAGATATTTCAAGAATTAAGTTATTTAGTATTGTTCCGAATGTGATGGGGTGCAGCTTAATACGGATTGATTGTTACATTCCATTATGTTACAAGAAAAAACATTGCAGGCTATCTAGATGCAATCAGAATTTCTCCGGACTTAAATTCCGACACATTTTTTGTGTATACAATTTATGATGTATCAGTCACATTATACTGAACGAGAGCTTAGCTTGAAGACAGATGAAGGATAGCACCTGCTATTAAGTGACTATAAATTATTAATGCATTACAGACAAGGTGCATAGCTAGACACCGGCGGAATGATGTGACAGACACTCCAAGTGGTTTAAGTTTAACGCTTTACAAAATGGCAGGTTACATGACATTCACAAAGGTAATTCTGTGAATGGATGACATATACATTGATTATTATGGAATCTCTATCAGAAATCAAACATTTTATGATCGACGACTACAGATTTAAAACGTTTTTTTTACCCTCCCTAAAACACAAAGTAGCACATTGTATAATTAAAATCTACGCCGTGAGAACTTAAACTTTAAAAAAAAACAACAACAAAAAAACATTAGTCCAAAGCTAAGCGAAAATATGAATTAATCAATCCATCCGCCAATCTTCTAACCGCTTGTCCTGGTCTGGGTATCGGGGTGAGAGAAAATAGGCCTTTGTGCAAAAGAAATAAGTTCGAGGAAAATCTACATTACCTCATTAATTAATTTATTACGTGTGTCGATAATTACAGGTCGTTTAGACCTAAATGAAGCAAACTTTGAATGTGTATCTGCACAGACGCTTATTGAATGCGCTGGTACGTATAACATGACTTAGGCAAAGAGAATCCCTTTGTAGTGCATTTGGCTCACTGAGGTTTCTGTGGGACTGGAACATTTACAGCAACACGATTTTACGCCTGTGTTATCGCTAAGATAACAGATGTCGTAGGTCTTGAAATAAAGCTATAAGGCATTTACAAAAACAATTTAATAAAATTAACGGGAATCTCACGTCTCTGACTTAGGGATTTATGGACTATGTATTGCTGATCAGTTAGTGCTTATCGCAATTGATTCATTTCGTTGAATTATCATTCATTTGTGTTTATTTGTTTTTAAACCAAAATTATTACAAAATTAGGAGCCGTTCAGGATAATATACTAATGGATCTAACAAATCGTTCCAAGCTATTAGTCGCCCAGTCATTACATAATACCCCGTCGGACTGTTACATATATTTTAACGATATATGGTAATATTGATTGAGGTTGCAATTAACTCAGCAAATGTTAAGGTGCTGTTGACCTTAACTGCTGTTGCACAACCTGCCGTACCTTAAAATCCCGCGCCTCGCTTTCCTTCATTATGAAAATTATCAGAGCATCTTTTTGCGCAACAAGGCGTTGAACTTTGTTGCACTGCTGGCCCTAATTTCAGATCCATGAGAAAAAAGAAAAAGGAAGAGAAATTTAATTCCGCCAAAGGACGCATAGTGAAGCAAACGTACCCTTCTTTTTTTATACAGTTAACATTACTAAAGATCATAACATACTTCTTTACACGTGACCCACTGTGTATATTTCTCACAATGATGGGATTGCCTAATGCCCCATGTACAATACACATCTCAAGGGTATCGTATACACTGGTATCACCAAGGGCATAACTTTGGGTTGAGGCCTCCTGCACCCATTTAAGGGGGTCCAAGGGGTTGCATTGGCTGGTTTTGATTATTGGGGAGGGGGTCAACCCCGCTCCCCCCCTAATTTACAACTATGGGCATCACCGTTTTTGTTATCACCTCTTGTTTCCAGAGTTAACAGGATGTGAATCACTCTGTTATCAATGGAAATCATTGATCGCTTCGGGTGCGCAGAGTAAATGTACGTTGAGTGGAGGGAGGTGGGCTGGACAAGTGGGACAGAGTGGAGGAAAAAGGAGGACAGCTAGTTTCAGAGGAACATGAAGTGGAGTTTATGGACTGATGAGAACTCGTAGGTAAAGACGGGAAGAGCGAATTGTGCACCAGCATTGGAATTAGCAGTAGAACGCAGTATTATGTTCTGTGTGCAGCCGGACGGACAAAGAGCTGCGCTGTTTTAATAGAGATGGCTGGCAGCCTAAGATCACCTTGATGGCGAGGTCCTGGTTAATTCTAAATGACATACATTTCATAAGTATTCGTTTGGACCCCCCCCCCCACACACACACACACACATTTAACATAAAATATTAGTTTTATGCCAGTGTGTCCCCCCCCCATATTCAAAATGCTTCTGACGCCACTGAGTTTACTCTTAATGATTTTACTGTCTTTTTTCTGGACATTCTCTTTTCTTCTTCTTCTTGTATTNCACACACACACACACATTTAACATAAAATATTAGTTTTATGCCAGTGTGTCCCCCCCCCATATTCAAAATGCTTCTGACGCCACTGAGTACACTGAATATTTCCTTCCCCCCGTTATAATTACCCGTTTCACTCAATTAGTTGTGTAAGTTTGCACGCATCGTAGGCGAAGTCTTTAGTTCAGTATTGATTTAATTCCGTTTATTTAAATATTTGATCCGCCCCTTTAATATCAATATCACTATATGTTGCCTATCAAAACGTATCATCATTGATAATTCCATAGTCATATATGATGTAAAGTATCCACATAAAGGTTTAATATAACATTTTTTCAATAAAATGTAATTTATTATATCACTGAACACTTTCTGTTTCTTTATTGGCCGTCCATTCATATGTTTCTATTTATAACACCAAATTAAAACAAAACACTAATTATTTAATTATTTTAAAATCGACCTTTTTTATCTGTATGTGCTTTATATGATTAATTAAATGATGTCAAAATGAAATGCGACATAATGGAGATTAAAAGCATATATCTAATTAAAAATTGCTTGTTAATGTAGGAATACATTTCGAAAGCTTTCATTATCCAAACTGGAAACTGTTTTCTGTAATTGCACAGCTATCGCGGCCAATTAGCACTAATTGCCCAAAAGAGTATTTTGCCAATTCTTCACCTGATAACTGTTACAAAAACACGCGATTTCTTTTTAGCTAGGTTTATGTGTACAGGAGTAACGAGTAAAGTTACGTATATGAAAAAGTTTCACATGACACAATTCTCATTCAATTAGGGACTTTGTTGTAAATGTATTCCACTGAATTATAATATAACAAGTAGAATTTCATAGTTTATTGCCTATTTTGTCTGCACATATTTATGTACTTTTTATCAGAGCCAATGCCGAAAATAGTCACGAATAAACAATATAATGTCTGAGGCTGACATCTAGTGGTAAAAATGTTATTACCCGCATTACTATTTTTTGCCACAAACAGGTTTGATTAGATCAAATATTTAGTACTTTTCACTTTCTTTTTGCAAAAACTGATTATCTATATATATATATATATATATAAACATTTTCCAGCAGTGCATTGAGTGTTACAATTTCTTCGATGCCGTCCCTACGTTCAGCATACGTAGATCAAACTCGGCTCTTGAAGTGTATACATAAACAATTTAAGCAGACAAATATTACGTAGTAGTATTGATACAGTCAGCAGCGAAGCCATGAACCATGCGTAAGGAGCGTACACACCCCCCGTAACGAATATGTCATTTTGTTTGTTTGTGAAATTCAGAATATATTTATGTCTAAGACCCGTGTTCCCCATCATCGTAAAATTCCGTGAGTAGTTAAACAGTTAGTAATGTTCCGTTGCTTTTTCGTGCACATGGGTGACATCTAAGCTAATTGTTTCCATGTACTGTACTGAATTAAAAAACTGAATAGCACAAAGACTATCAATTTACTATATTTTCAATTTCGACATCATTCTGAAGTTTTACGCAATTAAAAAAATCACTGCAATCACAATGAATTAGTTAAATGCCTGCGGTTATGAACAATCATTTCAAATATATACAGTTTCTGTTAAAACGCTAAAATAGGTTGGGCCTTACCGCAGTTGGGTGCACTGGGAACTGGGAGGCGAAAGGCCTGATACGCACAGTAAGCATCTCTTTTCAAAAACTCCTGGCTATGCCACTGGATACAGCAGAACGGTGTAAGGCTGAAAAATGAGTTTTGGCTGAAAAATGTTATTACCCGCATTCCCATCCAGAAATATTTCCTGAAGTCCACACGGAGCTTCTTTCCTCAAGCTATTGCATTGCTAAATAACTAGTTCATTTGTTTCTATTGTTTTGTATTGCACAGTATTGTTAATATTCCACTTCCACACTTTATTAGTAGTGTCGACCACAGTGGCTGTTTGTACATCCTTCCCCAGTGCACCATCTATTTATTGCATATTTATTGTGTCACTCCCTGTATTGTCTTCTGTCTTACACACTCATCTCTTATTACACGCACTGCTATTCATCCTGTATTGCACTGTTTTGTCTTACTGTCCCCACCATGCATCTGTCCCCGCAACTGCAGCACAATAATTTCACTTTGTTCCTTGCAACACATGTGACAATGAAAATGTAAAAACTTGAAGATGAATAATCAAAAATGGCAACGGTGTGGATTAAAAGTTATGTTGGGTTTACGTGCTCATCACCCATCATTTACTATTTATTACTGTCTGTAATTTTAATGGTATTACTAAAATATGCCAAATGACACATTGACCACTGAAAGTGAGGCAGAGGAAAGACAGGGTTGGAATTAAAGAGCCACATGGGTATGATATGTATCCCCATTCCCATCCTTAGTTTAACTGAACATAAGGACTATAGCACATTTAAGAAAATGCATATACAAGCAATTTCATTACCGTTATCGCGGTGTTACCATACATTTTATTACGATCTGGGTGGAAATACCGTAAAGCTGTTACCATAGGAACAGTTTTATTTTTTTGCCTGTTCCCGTGGATTACTGCGAATGTCTGCATGATTACTGCTTTCCCCATTCTAATACAGCTAGGAATACACCTAAATACACCTAAATTGAAGATGCCTTTCCACATGATAGGCCTACTTTATCACTTTCTGACAATCACTTGTTTACTACCTAGTAGTCTCTTTCCCAATAAAGAATGCAGGGGCGTTGTGCAAACCAAATTTGTGGGTAGGCAAAACCACACACAAGACATACAAAATACACAGATATTCATGTTCTTGAAACTTTATGTAACTCTGTTCTGTTCTGTATGTTTTATCTTTATCCTGCCCTATCCTGTAATTTTTAAAATGCCTCTAACTTAGTCTTCTTCATTATGCCATTCTGGAAATAAATACAATAATAGAAAAATTACATCACTGACATGGTGATGGTCAAACATTCAGCAATAGCAGCAAGTGGATAACTCAGTGTGTGCCCTGTGAAAAGTTACTACACAGGAAATGTTTCCCTTGGACTGCAAAAAAGAAAAAGGCACACAGAACAGTCACACATGCACAAAAACAACCGGCTCATGAATTAATCAGCAAAAATACCTAATTTAATAGAACTATTTGTAGTTGGCATAGTGCATTGTGCAATGATTTAGAAGAGAGGTAATCAGTGACGATGTTACATTCTGCTAGATAGCTAGCTAGTTATCATCTGCCAGAAAATAGTTTGCTAGTTGTTTTCACAATACATGATGGAAAAGGCTGTGTTGTGTTGCTATTTGTGGCAAATATTGAAGGACAGTGAAATTTCTACAGGCAAAACTACAAACTGAGTTTGCCTTGCTGGCTTCCTTTAGCTAACTAACATTAACATAATTTCATAATGCGGCTTCGCAAAATGTCTGTGCTAGCACACTGATTACATAGCTACCTCAGCGTGATATATTTTGACAGTTTTTGGCTAATGCAGCATATCTGTGGGACAACAACACAGAAACAATTAAGTTGCTTTCTTATACTTGCAGTAACACATTTACTGGCTAGCAGTTGTAAACAGCTAAAGATAGCTAACCTTGTTTAATGCTGCTGAGATGTGACACATGAATGTCACTATGTAACAACTTGTTGATTATCTGTAGCATTATCGATAGAAGACGGGAATGATGAGGGATGTGATCTGATGGAATAAGCTCGCTCATTGGCCAGATTACCCTGACTGCAAGTTTATTTCAAGTGTAACGGCATGTTCTTCACAGTCAATGTAGGCATGTTAATGGTTGCCTGAATAATAAATTTTTGTGACATTTTTTACAAAATGTTGGGTAGGCACATGCCTGCCTAATTTGATTGGCACAACGCCACAGAGTTGAACAATCTTAGAGAATGACAAAAAAGATAACGAATGATGTAGGAAAATGATGAGTGAGACTGAGAGTGTTTCCCAAAATCCTTTGTTGTCTGAGATGTGATGATTGAACTAAAAGTAGGCCTAGCTCTGTATCAGCTCCTCCCCAGAATCATGTGTACTCACTATGTCTGTGAAAAATCCTTGATGGCTGCATATCACCTGGAAATTTAAGCCTAATACAGAGAACCCTTCTTGAGAGGTGCAGATGAGATTCAGGAGGCTGGGAGTATGAGGAGGAATGAATATTCCACCCATTGTACCTACAATAAAAGGTATGTCTGCAATGGCATGAAAAACATTTTTAGCGTCATGCAAGCATCCCCCCCTGCTGGACATTGTATGTAGTTGCATCAATGGCACAATAGTAATCTGGTCACTGCATGCACAGATTTGGACCCAGAAGCCTTACTGAGGCCATGTGCATCACCGATGGTCTGCATGAATCCACCAGTGGTGTAGAAAAAAAGAGCCATTTATGAATTGGAATAGGCCACATCCCACAAGACGCTGAACTGGAATTTGAATTTGAATGATGGGAAGAAGAATGTAATTAATTTCAATTGAAAGAAATTCCATGTAATTGCACAACACAGGAATGTATTTTGATCTAGCAAAACATAATTATATAATAGGTTTACTATCTAGATGGTAGATGTACACTATATTGCCAAAAGTATTGGGACACCTGCCTTTACACACACATGAACTTTAATAACATCCCATTCTTAATACATAGGCTTTAATATGGAGTTGGCCCACCCTTTGCAGCTGTAACAGCTTCAGCTCTTCTGGGAAGGCTGTCCACAAGGTTTAGGAGTGTGTTTATGGGAATTTTTGACCATTCATC